ATGGTAAGTGTAAGGGTCAGGGTTAGTGCAAGTAATATAGCTAACCTACCTAGATGGTAAGTGTAAGGGTCAGGGTTAGTGCAAGTAATATAGCTAACCTACCTAGATGGTAAGTGTAAGGGTCAGGGTTAGTGCAAGTAATATAGCTAACCTACCTAGATGGTAAGTGTAAGGGTCAGGGTTAGTGCAAGTAATATAGCTAACCTACCTAGATGGTAAGTGTAAGGGTCAGGGTTAGTGCAAGTAATATAGCTAACCTACCTAGATGGTAAGTGTAAGGGTCAGGGTTAGTGCAAGTAATATAGCTAACCTACCTAGATGGTAAGTGTAAGGGTCAGGGTTAGTGCAAGTAATATAGCTAACCTACCTAGATGGTAAGTGTAAGGGTCAGGGTTAGTGCAAGTAATATAGCTAACCTACCTAGATGGTAAGTGTAAGGGTCAGGGTTAGTGCAAGTAATATAGCTAACCTACCTAGATGGTAAGTGTAAGGGTCAGGGTTAGTGCAAGTAATATAGCTAACCTACCTAGATGGTAAGTGTAAGGGTCAGGGTTAGTGCAAGTAATATAGCTAACCTACCTAGATGGTAAGTGTAAGGGTCAGGGTTAGTGCAAGTAATATAGCTAACCTACCTAGATGGTAAGTGTAAGGGTCAGGGTTAGTGCAAGTAATATAGCTAACCTACCTAGATGGTAAGTGTAAGGGTCAGGGTTAGTGCAAGTAATATAGCTAACCTACCTAGATGGTAAGTGTAAGGGTCAGGGTTAGTGCAAGTAATATAGCTAACCTACCTAGATGGTAAGTGTAAGGGTCAGGGTTAGTGCAAGTAATATAGCTAACCTACCTAGATGGTAAGTGTAAGGGTCAGGGTTAGTGCAAGTAATATAGCTAACACTCCTACCTAGATGGTAAGTGTAAGGGTCAGGGTTAGTGCAAGTAATATAGCTAACCTACCTAGATGGTAAGTGTAAGGGTCAGGGTTAGTGCAAGTAATATAGCTAACCTACCTAGATGGTAAGTGTAAGGGTCAGGGTTAGTGCAAGTAATATAGCTAACCTACCTAGATGGTAAGTGTAAGGGTCAGGGTTAGTGCAAGTAATATAGCTAACCTACCTAGATGGTAAGTGTAAGGGTCAGGGTTAGTGCAAGTAATATAGCTAACCTACCTAGATGGTAAGTGTAAGGGTCAGGGTTAGTGCAAGTAATATAGCTAACCTACCTAGATGGTAAGTGTAAGGGTCAGGGTTAGTGCAAGTAATATAGCTAACCTACCTAGATGGTAAGTGTAAGGGTCAGGGTTAGTGCAAGTAATATAGCTAACCTACCTAGATGGTAAGTGTAAGGGTCAGGGTTAGTGCAAGTAATATAGCTAACCTACCTAGATGGTAAGTGTAAGGGTCAGGGTTAGTGCAAGTAATATAGCTAACCTACCTAGATGGTAAGTGTAAGGGTCAGGGTTAGTGCAAGTAATATAGCTAACCTACCTAGATGGTAAGTGTAAGGGTCAGGGTTAGTGCAAGTAATATAGCTAACCTACCTAGATGGTAAGTGTAAGGGTCAGGGTTAGTGCAAGTAATATAGCTAACCTACCTAGATGGTAAGTGTAAGGGTCAGGGTTAGTGCAAGTAATATAGCTAACCTACCTAGATGGTAAGTGTAAGGGTCAGGGTTAGTGCAAGTAATATAGCTAACCTACCTAGATGGTAAGTGTAAGGGTCAGGGTTAGTGCAAGTAATATAGCTAACCTACCTAGATGGTAAGTGTAAGGGTCAGGGTTAGTGCAAGTAATATAGCTAACCTACCTAGATGGTAAGTGTAAGGGTCAGGGTTAGTGCAAGTAATATAGCTAACCTACCTAGATGGTAAGTGTAAGGGTCAGGGTTAGTGCAAGTAATATAGCTAACCCTACCTAGATGGTAAGTGTAAGGGTCAGGGTTAGTGCAAGTAATATAGCTAACCTACCTAGATGGTAAGTGTAAGGGTCAGGGTTAGTGCAAGTAATATAGCTAACCTACCTAGATGGTAAGTGTAAGGGTCAGGGTTAGTGCAAGTAATATAGCTAACCTACCTAGATGGTAAGTGTAAGGGTCAGGGTTAGTGCAAGTAATATAGCTAACCTACCTAGATGGTAAGTGTAAGGGTCAGGGTTAGTGCAAGTAATATAGCTAACCTACCTAGATGGTAAGTGTAAGGGTCAGGGTTAGTGCAAGTAATATAGCTAACCTACCTAGATGGTAAGTGTAAGGGTCAGGGTTAGTGCAAGTAATATAGCTAACCTACCTAGATGGTAAGTGTAAGGGTCAGGGTTAGTGCAAGTAATATAGCTAACCTACCTAGATGGTAAGTGTAAGGGTCAGGGTTAGTGCAAGTAATATAGCTAACCTACCTAGATGGTAAGTGTAAGGGTCAGGGTTAGTGCAAGTAATATAGCTAACCTACCTAGATGGTAAGTGTAAGGGTCAGGGTTAGTGCAAGTAATATAGCTAACCTACCTAGATGGTAAGTGTAAGGGTCAGGGTTAGTGCAAGTAATATAGCTAACCTACCTAGATGGTAAGTGTAAGGGTCAGGGTTAGTGCAAGTAATATAGCTAACCTACCTAGATGGTAAGTGTAAGGGTCAGGGTTAGTGCAAGTAATATAGCTAACCTACCTAGATGGTAAGTGTAAGGGTCAGGGTTAGTGCAAGTAATATAGCTAACCTACCTAGATGGTAAGTGTAAGGGTCAGGGTTAGTGCAAGTAATATAGCTAACCTACCTAGATGGTAAGTGTAAGGGTCAGGGTTAGTGCAAGTAATATAGCTAACCTACCTAGATGGTAAGTGTAAGGGTCAGGGTTAGTGCAAGTAATATAGCTAACCTACCTAGATGGTAAGTGTAAGGGTCAGGGTTAGTGCAAGTAATATAGCTAACCTACCTAGATGGTAAGTGTAAGGGTCAGGGTTAGTGCAAGTAATATAGCTAACCTACCTAGATGGTAAGTGTAAGGGTCAGGGTTAGTGCAAGTAATATAGCTAACCCTACCTAGATGGTAAGTGTAAGGGTCAGGGTTAGTGCAAGTAATATAGCTAACCTACCTAGATGGTAAGTGTAAGGGTCAGGGTTAGTGCAAGTAATATAGCTAACCTACCTAAATGGTAAGTGTAAGGGTCAGGGTTAGTGCAAGTAATATAGCTAACCTACCTAGATGGTAAGTGTAAGGGTCAGGGTTAGTGCAAGTAATATAGCTAACCTACCTAGATGGTAAGTGTAAGGGTCAGGGTTAGTGCAAGTAATATAGCTAACCTACCTAGATGGTAAGTGTAAGGGTCAGGGTTAGTGCAAGTAATATAGCTAACCCTACCTAGATGGTAAGTGTAAGGGTCAGGGTTAGTGCAAGTAATATAGCTAACCTACCTAGATGGTAAGTGTAAGGGTCAGGGTTAGTGCAAGTAATATAGCTAACCTACCTAGATGGTAAGTGTAAGGGTCAGGGTTAGTGCAAGTAATATAGCTAACCTACCTAGATGGTAAGTGTAAGGGTCAGGGTTAGTGCAAGTAATATAGCTAACCTACCTAGATGGTAAGTGTAAGGGTCAGGGTTAGTGCAAGTAATATAGCTAACCTACCTAGATGGTAAGTGTAAGGGTCAGGGTTAGTGCAAGTAATATAGCTAACCTACCTAGATGGTAAGTGTAAGGGTCAGGGTTAGTGCAAGTAATATAGCTAACCTACCTAGATGGTAAGTGTAAGGGTCAGGGTTAGTGCAAGTAATATAGCTAACCTACCTAGATGGTAAGTGTAAGGGTCAGGGTTAGTGCAAGTAATATAGCTAACCTACCTAAATGGTAAGTGTAAGGGTCAGGGTTAGTGCAAGTAATATAGCTAACCTACCTAAATGGTAAGTGTAAGGGTCAGGGTTAGTGCAAGTAATATAGCTAACCTACCTAAATGGTAAGTGTAAGGGTCAGGGTTAGTGCAAGTAATATAGCTAACCTACCTAGATGGTAAGTGTAAGGGTCAGGGTTAGTGTAAGTAATATAGCTAACCTACCTAGATGGTAAGTGTAAGGGTCAGGGTTAGTGCAAGTAATATAGCTAACCTACCTAAATGGTAAGTGTAAGGGTCAGGGTTAGTGCAAGTAATATAGCTAACCTACCTAGATGGTAAGTGTAAGGGTCAGGGTTAGTGCAAGTAATATAGCTAACCTACCTAGATGGTAAGTGTAAGGGTCAGGGTTAGTGTAAGTAATATAGCTAACCTACCTAGATGGTAAGTGTAAGGGTCAGGGTTAGTGCAAGTAATATAGCTAACCTACCTAGATGGTAAGTGTAAGGGTCAGGGTTAGTGCAAGTTATATAGCTAACCTACCTAGATGGTAAGTGTAAGGGTCAGGGTTAGTGCAAGTAATATAGCTAACCTACCTAGATGGTAAGTGTAAGGGTCAGGGTTAGTGCAAGTAATATAGCTAACCTACCTAGATGGTAAGTGTAAGGGTCAGGGTTAGTGCAAGTAATATAGCTAACAACTCCTACCTAGATGGTAAGTGTAAGGGTCAGGGTTAGTGCAAGTAATATAGCTAACCTACCTAAATGGTAAGTGTAAGGGTCAGGGTTAGTGCAAGTAATATAGCTAACCTACCTAGATGGTAAGTGTAAGGGTCAGGGTTAGTGCAAGTAATATAGCTAACCTACCTAAATGGTAAGTGTAAGGGTCAGGGTTAGTGCAAGTAATATAGCTAACAACTCCTACCTAGATGGTAAGTTTAAGGGTCAGGGTTAGTGCAAGTAATATAGCTAACCTACCTAGATGGTAAGTGTAAGGGTCAGGGTTAGTGCAAGTAATATAGCTAACAACTCCTACCTAGATGGTAAGTGTAAGGGTCAGGGTTAGTGCAAGTAATATAGCTAACCTACCTAGATGGTAAGTGTAAGGGTCAGGGTTAGTGTAAGTAATATAGCTAACCTACCTAAATGGTAAGTGTAAGGGTCAGGGTTAGTGCAAGTAATATAGCTAACCTACCTAGATGGTAAGTGTAAGGGTCAGGGTTAGTGCAGGTAATGCCCTGTTTTCTGAGAACCGTTACTGAAGTAGCAATGTTGGATAAGGAGAGAGACATATCGAATAGAAGGGCAGCCCCTGGTCGTAGGGTTAGTTGTGGGTACGCCGTCTCGTCTGGGACAAGTAATTAGTAGTTAATTAAAGGTTAATGAGGAGTTAATTAAGAGGTGATTATTTGCTAATTGTGGTTTAGTTAGGTGCAACTATTTATGGAAGTACATTTACTGCTTGTATGTTAAAAATATATTTGTTTCCTTCCACTTACCATATTTCATCTCACAGTTGGAGACAGTCATATCATCTATATACACTGCAACATGCTTATCTGTTAGCTGCACCGTTACTTTAGAATCGTTCTGACAAACTGGAAATAATGACGTTATGTCACGTGGTGTGACGTCATGTCACGCGGTGTGACATAATAAGGTGAGTTGACCAAGGCTGATAAAAAAGAAAAGATCACTGTAACTGCTGTTACCAACTTGGGCACGGTGGAATTTTCGGGAAAACACGTCCAAAACACAACAATTCCCACAAACGAACATTTAGTGGCGCTAATTGAACTGTTACCGATCAACCAGATGTGTGGTGATCACTGATCTATAATGACATTAGGATTAAAATATCAAGATTAGGATTAACAAGATCGTTATTTTAGTTCGTTCAACCAAATCTGGTTTTCTTTGAGACTTTGGTGATGTCCGTGAGCTAATTTGTTTCTTTGTTGCTTTATTTTAGATCAGAAGATCTTATTTTCTAAATGATGATTTTGTGGTATAATTTGCTAGGAAATTAAAATCACTATTCTACAAATCGGGGTTTGATTAAAATGTTTGAGCTTTATCAACTGAAAGTTTATATAAGTGTTAATACCACTTTGATCACCTTAGTTTTGTGATGTACAGCTATGTTAGTTATAAATGGGTGTTAATTGACCGACCAATAAAAAGGTTACCAAAATAAGATATGACTAATTAAATTAGCAGCAATATAGCATAACAATGCAAGCCTTGTCTCCTTAAGCCCTAATAATACACTATTAACATCACGGCAAATACAATTAAGTATAATTAATAACTTAACTTAAAACTAATATTATGTTTAATTTAGTATATCTAATAACTAACTAGGCTGAGAGCCAGATACGCTCCCTTCCCCCGTAACCACTAACAGATCCATTATTTTATCATCGTTAACAAACCCTACTTTAAATCCTTCTCCTAGCTCCACCACGTGTACCTGAGTAATTGGTTTGTTAATTAGCTCATTACTGTAATTAGCAGATATAAGGTTCGCAAGTTAAGCAACTAATTTTAAATTAACACATTACAGAACGAATAAATCATGTCCAGCACGAAGTTCCAACCAGTTATTGAATTAAATTAATTGAAAATCAATTAACAGATCTAATGAACTAGATTTACCGTGAACACGATTTGCGGGAACTCAGCGAAGTTTCTGTTGAAAGTAGCGGTACCGTGAGATTTAGCAGAGTTAGTGAGATAGTAGCCGTCACAAGCCACCTGGTCATCACACTCCCACATGTCTACACACTTCACCTCATACTTCACAGGTGTTGTCTTTGCTAAGGGGGGCTCTTTTCATTAATGTTATAGGTTATACCAACAAGCTATATCTTTACTGTTATCAATTGGAGAGTATTTATTACTCTTAACACATTAATCAAAGATAACGTTTTATTCGAATTAAGTTTACTCGTATCGGAAATAAATTCGATTGATTGATCACGATGGAACCTCTATTTATCTTCAAATATTAGAAATTACTAAAATATGTATTACTTAAACTCTTAAAACACTGTTTTCACAACCTACTAACAAGTTTTAAAGTAGAATCTAATTATTTAATAATTACAGATTATATAAGCAAGGATAATACCCAGTACATACTTTACTGGTAATATACTGGTAATGAACTAGTAATGTACTGGTAATGTACTGGTAATGTACTGGTAATGTACTGGTAATGTACTGGTAATGTACTGGTAATGTACTGTTTACAGGTACGATTTATATTAGCATTTAGCTTATTTATAAGCTGTTTATAAACTGAGCCGTCTGCAAAACACTAATTGAACCGGAAATCAGTTTTCACTTCATCTAAGGAATTTGTAAATGTAATAAGTATGAAGAATCTAATATTGGTAATTATCAGCGCTGCGTTGCTAAGTGCACATTATAATCGGTAACAATTGCAGAGCTATTAAAATTATTAATCTTCCATTTCATGACTTGTTATTTTGCAATAACATTTCAAATTGTTTCCTCATGCCAGCCAAGTGGCCAAGTTGCCCATTTTTGCTTATTATTTATAATTTTTTGTCGGCCGGGTGGTGTAGTGGTATTTCACTCGCCTCCCAAGCGGAAGACCGGGGTTCAAACCCCGTCTGAGGCAGGCAGGCCAGGTCACCAAGCTGTGATTGGTACTGGTAATTATGCTCGGAGGATATGAGTGACGCGATCCCCACTACAGTGTAAGCTGCAGTGTAGCTGTAATAGTCTACCGCCATTCGGAATGAGTGTGAACTTGCTCACTACCAGGCAATCATGATTTCCGCTTGGTACTCATCAGGTCTCTAAGAAAGCCAACAGTTTGCTGATATGCACTGTCATATGTACTTCCTAGAAGCAGCACACGGCCCATTTCGGACTTGCACGAGTTATAATTATTATTTTTTTATAATTTTTCCAATTTTCGTCTTCAATATCTGTGGTGTTTTTTTCCTCAGCAGCTCAGTAAATATTTAACTTCGCCAAGAAAGCTGACTTAGAGAGGCATGTCATATATGTATATATATCTTATATATAATATGTTGGGGATTGGCCCGAAGTGCCAGCCAATGTTTACTCAAAATGTATACCTGGATATAATTGTAATCTATCAAAGGTCAAAACTGACAAAAAATTAAATATTTTAGAAAACTGTCCAAATTAAAGCTTATAATACAATCATAGCTGAGTAGAGCACAGTTAAAAGGGCCTTTAGGATTTGTTAAGTTGTAATCATCCTAATAATGCACTAATTAATATCTGAGTTGTTAGATAGGAAACAGGTCCATAGCTACCAGCTAGCTGTTTAAATTTTGTTAGTTCGACTATTGTCAGTCGCATAGCCCATGCTGTGGTTGCTGGTGAATTATTGACAATTTAACTGTGATAGTGTGATGGTATGCGGTGAAATTTATTCAGTAATGCTTGCCAGCTTGCTGACGTGCCTATGGTATTAAGACGAGGTTGTTATCAGCATTACAGTTATTGTTGCGCTTTGATTTCTTTAGTCTTGCTATATTATTTATCTAATATATAACATTTGGACTCAATAATAACAAATAATATATCAGCTTCTACGCCTTGAACTGTAACTCCAGCAATACAACCAGCTAATACTCTCTTGTAACACTAGCTATTACTTGCCTTTAACTTGCTATAACTTAGCTAAAACCTAGCTATAACTTGCTATAACTTACTATACTTGCTATATAAACAATCCTTTGAACACCATTAACCATCTCCATATCATCACACGGGGACACATCCAAAAGCCAGCAACAGAAGGATGGTTCTCGAACAAGTTGATTATTAGCGGCTAATAACCTCGTCTGTCGGAGTACTGTAATCTAATAATCAGTACAGTCGTTTCTAGTACCGTTATACTGATATACCACCTAATATACTGTATTAGCTGACAACATTGTGTGTTCTGTGCTGTCTTGATAGGCTGTGCTGCTGTTGTTAGGGCGTTTCTACAGTTTACTGCACTTGGAAAGTTGTATGTTTTGGGAATAAGTAGAATTGTAAGTCTGTGAAAGTTATTTTGTAGTTTGCTTCAATTTTATTGTTAATCTGAGATGCGTTATTCAACAACTTTTATGTTTTTAATTAAGGAGGAAGCATTAATATTAATTATTAAATTACAATGCTCATGCTCCCATCGGTCAAAGAACAGTGAACAATGATTCCGAGAAATTTGAGGATAAGGAATTACTTGTCTACATCCATTTCATGTCTAGTCTTTTACTCCTTTGTACTCCTTCAATTAGATTTTCATATAATAGTTAATAACACACTAACTCTGTAATTGCCCTCATCGGTAGCTGAACTTCCCAGCAGTTCAATTATATTTCTACGTTGTGAACATGGTCACTGTTATTGTAACTGTGAGCGTGATTAACAATTATAAGGACTTTTAGTGCTTACATTGATTATTTAGAAGTTTGCCAAGAGTTTCTAATGATTTAAGTTGTTAATCTGATCCGACTATGTAGATGTAAATTTAATTTGTATTCCAGTCTGTACTATTGTTGATCCTATGTGTCTATTATTGTTAAGTAACTTCTTGTGAACTGCCTCCCAGACTAGAGCAACATGGTAGTGTTTGGTAACCCCGCCTCAAATCAAACAGAACAGCTGTACGGTGAGGTGAAGATAGGAGAGGTGGTGACCCCTTACTACGTCAACTATTGGTGAGACATTGTAACTGTCACGTGTTACATGTCACATGTCACATGTCACGTGTTACATGTCACGTGTTAAATGCCACATGTCAAGCTCAGAGCCAGTTTCTTCCTTGCGTTTCCCTGTGCTCTGACAATTTCCGTATTAGAAAAAAGTATAAATATTACAGCAGGCTAATTTTTACAAGCAACTACTTTTCTATACTTACATTTGATCTTATATAACAATATCCCTCAGGTATGCAGGTATTTTGATAAGTTTCCTCCTGACATCAACCCTACTGAACCCCCTAGTTTACCTCTACTACACCAAACAGCGCCCCTCAGAAGCTACAGTTCTCTTCCGTCTCCTCGCCCTTCTAAACCTTCTCACTAACATCTTCAAACCAGCTCTGGTTGCTGTAACCTTAATAAAACCTGGCATAGAGCCCGAGTACAGAGCAGCGGAGGTATGGGAGAGTTTGGAATCAGTTCTACACTCCACACTTTACTTCAGTTCAGTCTTCGTTACCATTCTCCTAGCTGTCAGTCGAGCCCTCAAGATCAAGAACCCTTTCATACAGCTGCCCACAAAATACTTCCTGTTAGCACTGCTAATCTACACTCCCATAACGAGTCTCCTGATAAACTACTGTGTCCTGATGCCGGACAGGGTGTTAGTAATAAAGTCTCAGAGAGTACAGAGTCTGCAGCTTCTCCTAAACCGGTCCGTCTCCCCCCACACAGTCCTACTTCTCACTATCTACATCCTACTAGGAGCCTTCACCCTCTACTTCCTAGCAGGGATTGTGTATCTCCTCCAACACAGACGACAAGGAGCAAGGATTAAGAGCAGTAATAAGAGAAGTATCTATCTGATCCTTGCTATGAACTTTGCCAGTTTCCTCTTCCTCCTCCTCTCCCAAATCGGCATCATCTTCAAATTCCACTTTGGCCACGGCCACATCCCGTGGTTTTATGAGAACCTAGCAATAGTGGTACACTTGATCCTGCCAGTAACCATAGCAGGACTCAACCCTGTTTTGGTGGTGTGTTGTAACAAGAATGTTAGGAAGATGTTGAGGGGGCTGGTGTGTGAGGGGAGGTGTGATATTGAGACTGCGCAGACTAACAATGATGAGGGGAATGGTTTGCGGAGGTTTACTCAGGCTAGAAGGGAGGATACAGAGCTTTGAGAGGGCCGGTGGTACAGGTGGTAAAGGTGGTACAAGTGGTACAGTTTATTGTGCATTTAATCCATCTTTTTGTATAATTTTACACGCAACTTCCCCGATAAGTAAACGCCCAAATATTTGCTTACATGATCGGACATTGTTGGGACGTTTGAGATAACCGTGGACACAGTTCATGAAACTTACTTAAATTATGCTTGATAAAATGTTAGTTTTAACCATTTTACTCTTCACCGTTGACAATAAAACGTTGCAAGTTTGAAACGAAAATTGCATTTTATTGCACGATTTTTAACATGCCTGGCTTAATATCGGCTAACCATTATATTTTAATGATTAAACAATATGTAGACTAAAAATGAGACATCTGGTTTTGAAAAATAAAATTTTTATAAAAAAGGTAAACTTGACTGACAAGATACAATTCATTAATATTCAAAACAAAATTAAGACATACACCAAATTATTACAACAACAATTTATTTTTAACTGAAACATGATTAATCAATGCTTCTGGACTATATAATCGAATCAACTACAGTATGAAATGATTTAGATAATGCAATATTGAACTGCTTATAAATTAAGACTGGTCTTTTTGCTTATTACAAAATCATAAGCGTTTTGATAAATGTATGCTTTGCAGCTCTGTTGAAATAAGAGTATTAAGTACCTTCACGACTATCTACTTAAAATTAGATAGAAATCTGCCCAAATATTAAAATCTGAAAAATAGTAAAGAGGTTTGAATGTTAACAAAGACATTATAGCAATTTCAAAATATGATAAGAACACTACACACAATAGAAATTTCAAATTTGCTAGCTCTTTTCATCAGAATCCACAGAAATCTGATCCACAGAAATCTGATTCACAGAAATCTGATCCACAGAAATCTGATCCACAGAAATCTGATCCGCACTGTCTTCCTCCTCTTCTGATCTCGCAGATAACACAGTAACCTTTCTGCCCAGGAAACTTGATAAATCAGAGTCGTCTTCAGGCACAAAGTTCTCTAACGTATCAAGAGGAGCGGTCTGTAACGACTTCACTGTGTCCAATGGAGCAGTTTGGGCATCTCTCACTGAGAAATTACCTGTACTCTTGTAATTCTCCATATCTCTATCAAACTCATCTTTGAAGGTCTTGTGTCTCTCCTTTAACACAAGACACTCCTTAATGGCGCGCACGCGCACTGAGTCCTGATAGGTCTTCTCCATGACCGCTTTCTTCTGAAGAAGCTCCCGATGTCTCTCTTCACGGTACGAGTCTAGATGGTGGTGGTGAACGGCTTTCATGCGCTCCACGTGTAGTCTGTCACAATCGTCTTCTAGCTTTTCAAGTTCTACTAACAGGATGAGATGTTCAGACCAGTTTCTGTTACAATACCTGTAGGAAGATGTAATTGAGATAAATAGTCCAGAAATATATAATATACATTGAAATTTTAAAGTAAGCAGATTAACATGGATGTAAAACTGACTGTCAGGTGGAAATATTAATCGTTTAAAGGGGAACGAAACAATCCCATCGATTGTTCCAGAGTAAAGAAGTGTTTTAATTGTTCGCAGTAGTCATATCATCGCCACCCCACATACCAGTGCATTTCTCAACAGTTTCCGTCAACAGTGGCAGCTCAGCGATCCCAGTAGTCAGCTGAGTCATGAGAGCATCCTGCCTGCCCAACCAGGAGTGTAGTCGTGTGATAGATGCAGCTGCAGCAGCCCCTCCTCTGCTTGAGACATGGACATGTGGTGTATCTGTTCCCATAGCTGCTGGTACTTGTTCAGCAACTCTGTACCTGAGAGATAAGAGATAAGAGATAAGAGATAAGAGATAAGAGATAAGAGATAAGAGATAAGAGATAAGAGATAAGAGACAAGAGGGTACTTTCAGCTTCAGGGAGCAGATGCGATGTAGAAATCAAGAAACTACTCTGTCGACAAATAAGTCTAAGAAACAAATTCATCAAGACTTCAGCTATTTCTAATGAGAATATCAAAAAGTGTCAAAGTGAAGTGTTGACTCCACTTACCAGTAGAAAGATCAACATCTTCAGGAAAGTCAGGAGTTTCTCTTTCCCACCCCGGAGAGATGCTTAGTTTATCTGTTAGATCTGACTGCACTGAAGTCACTTTATCCAGCAGTGATTTCAGTGAAAACATCGCACCCTTCAATGGTAAATTAGGTTATTTATTTAAGGCGAAATAATTACATGAAATTAAGCTCCATAGGGTCCATACCATCCACGTATAATAGATTTCACTCAATCAAACAGCGTACACTGCAACTGCATTTTAATTGTAAGGCATTCAACGAAGAAATTTTAGAGTGCAATAATACATGACAATTATATTTGAATAATAAATTAGATCTGTTGCTTCACTTCGAAGTATGTAATATAAATAGCAGATTTAAAATTAGTAAAAACAACAAAAATGCTGATTGATAAAAATGTCGTTCCTTCAACCGTTATTCCTATGATTCTTATTAGAGAATGATAGCTTGGACGTCTTAGCCCATTACATGCCACCATTAATTTACTATATCAGTAGGTATGTCACAAAACTAAACTCAATCATCATCATCGCTAAAAGTAGTCTTTTTACCAGCAAACACATCAATTTTAGAAGTCAAAGAAGACAGCTGTTTCTTTGCAAGCCATGAGGGGTGCTCCGCTTTTACAGAAACTTTCTCTTTCTCTTTTTCTTTCTCCTTCTCTTTTAACCTTTTCATAATTTCTTGAGGAGGAAGATCAACTGGTGCACGTTTTTTACTTTTACCAATGTCCCTCTTATTGCCGTCCCTTTTATTGCTGTCCCTTTTGTTGGTATCGTTTGATCGTTTATCTTTGCTTAAATGTTTGGCTTGAATTCCATATACTTCCTCCCACTGCTTCTGTCTTGCTCTCTGACCAGGACGATTTCTCTTTTCTTTAATAATATCGTTTAATACGTTATCACCCTTTTCTGAAAAGGATGACAGTTTGTTTGAAAAGTCATCCTTTTTGGGTTTTTTCTTTTTTGGACTACCGTTCGAAGAGGGAAGCTCCCTTTTTGGTATCGAAGAATTATTTACGGTGTTACCTTCTGCTTGCATATTGTTAGACTCATCCAAAGAGTTCACAAAGTACATAAAAGACGATTTATCTTGAGTCAACTCATACAAAAACCATTCTTTAGTTTGCTCCTGATGGTTATCTGATATTTTGAAATTTTGTTTGACCATTTCAGAAACTACATCTTTGAAATCCAGTACCTTCATATCGTTTATCCGTTGAAACAATCGTTCGACCTTTCTCTGGTTTTTACTCAGCTGTGCTTCGTTGCCTTTCTTGTTTTTTAATAGTTTAATCCGTTTGGTAATTTTCTGAACGAGAAAAACCCTTCGTTTTTTTGCTAACCGCTGCATTGTAACTAAGTGTTTATGTGCAATCTCTGATGGGACAGTGGGAGGTTCAGGGCTGATTTCTGGGTCAGGAGCTTCATCAGAGGAATATTCAGAGCTGATTTCTGGATCAGGAACATCATCTTTACTTTTATCTGCACTCTCTATCATCCTTCTAATGTCTCTTAAAATAGTTTTTGTTGTTAGTCAGATTAATGGTAGATCAGAAAGGCTATTTTAACGAATATATGCATTTTAGCTATGTTATTAGGTTTACTTTGATGCACAATTGGCTAAAATTAGACAATAATACAACATCTTCCCTTATTAGAAACTCAATAAATATATACAAATTCAGCATCAACAACTTAAATTCAAAACTGAAAGAAATTAAAATCTGTGGCATGGAAATTGATTATTGATATCAAGTTAAATGTACAATACAGATAACAGAATCTATAATTCAAGTAAATGATGTGTCAGATTAAATCTCTTATCTTGGTCCAACAGAGCAAGTACGTTATCAAGAAATACTTGTGAAATTCCATAGTATGAGTATGCACTACTATACATAGGGATAAATATTGAATTTACCGATAGATAAATGAAACCCTAGAGAACTAAGCATAATATATTGCCCTATCTGTGAATTGAAAAAACAAACTGAATGTAAAAGCTGATCCCATAGACTAGCATTAAATTGTTAAGGAAGAGATATGACATCATCATTCTCCAAAATCTCAGCACCTCCATTGTTCTTTATTAGATATTCCTCATACTCAGCATTATAATTATCTTTTTCTATCCCTAAACTATCCAGATACCCATCTAAACTAGTTTCCGTACACTGAGCTATAAATCGAATGAAGGGCCTAATGTCTCCACTGTTAGCTATACCTAAAGCTTCATAATATTTGTATCTATCTTGAACCTTGATGATAACTGGAGGATACCCAGCTTGAATTAACCTCAGATTCATCAACAACCGTGAAGTCCTCCCATTGCCATCAACAAAAGGGTGAATGTATACAAGTCTGTAATGTGCGATGGCTGCATATTCAACAGGATGCAGTGACCAGGCCTCATCACTGTTTAACCATCTCACCAGATCCTCCATAAGAGCTGGAACATCCTCAGGTTTTGGAGGAACAAAGTCACCAACATAAACTTGATGTGTTCTGTAACGACCAGCATATTCTGGTTCCACATTTCCTGTAAGAATGTAAAAATGGATACAGCAATAAAGCAAACAGGTCAATGTATTTGGTTCACACACTGCAGTTTAAGCCCACAGAACCTGAATAGCCTCTACACTCAATAAATTGTCATGAAACACTAAAATAAAAGTTACTGTCAAACTTTTTTAGTAAAGTAGTTCTCACCAAGAAGTTTTCTGTGTATAGCTAGGATTGTCTGAATCTCAAGAGGATTATCTGGTGCAAGCATAGTTCCGTTTAAAAAGTGAAGTGCAGCGTCCATACCAATAATCTCATTGTGTTCTCTTATACTCTGTCCACCAATAGCACGACCAGTTTCTAACACACTTCGGGTCATCGACAGTGTCATGGTATTGCCTGTCAATTTGATTTCAAGAATGTTTTACTAACAATTTAATCATTAATCAATAAATATGAACCTACACTATTTATTTTAATCATGGCTGGGCAGCTTCAAATGAATTCAAAAATAAAAATGGTAGTACTTTTTCTTACCTTCAATAGCATTATTGTGGTAAATGAGTTGGAAGTAGAACTCTCTCTTAGCTCGTCTGAATGCAAGATTACTAGGGGCTATCATAGAAAGGGCATGTTTCTTTGCTTCAATAGCTTTGTAGTGTTGCATGTCTATAGCTTTTACTTGGGGGAGATTAATTTGATGCCTCAAAAGAGCTGCTTCATTAGTAGGATCTCTCTTTAGAACTTTTGAATATAAACTATCTGCAGTTACAACATCTTTCTTTTCTTTCTCTAAGAACTCAGCATATTGCACTAAAAGAAATATTGATGAGAAAAGTTTTAAAAATCAATAATGATTCAGATGAAATTTAAACAACTGTACATCCCAATATGACTTATAACATTAGGTTCCTATTGATTGACCAGTAGCAGTTCTTTTCTTGTTAATAACTTACAACTTTGCTTAAATTTTATCATACATACTCAGGATTTCAGGGTGGTTGGGAGCAAATCGTAGAGCTTGACTGTATAACTTATCAGCTCTTTCAATCTTTTTATTTTCTTTCATGCGTTTGGCTGCTTCTAAAAGCCTGGACACTTCAGAGTCCAATGGTTTTACTGAAATAAATAATGATTTGACATAAAATTTTCTAATTTGAACTGTTAAATTTCAAACCGCATTTAAGATATGACTATCACAGTACAATTACAGTTGGAATACCTGGTTCAGGAATAACCACAAAGGGAGTATCCTCGACAATGTAGGCATTGTCGACTTTAGCTTTGTCTGGTTGAATACTTTTGAGAAGATCCAAAGGAGTTGGGACCAGCAAAAAAACAATAGACAGAAGGATAAAAACTATGTGGGGTTGGAATACACTTCTGAGGCCAATCAATATTTTTCCAATCATTAATATAGTATCATCTGCCAAGTCTGTTTCTTTTTCTAAGATGGAAACTTTATCAATATTACCATTAGCTGAAGCTGGGAATGTTTGTGTGGTTAATGTTGTGTACTGTTAATAATCAATCATACACATAATCACTATAGTTGCCAGATCAAGTCTAAATATAGTCAGACTCAATTCTTAAGGGAATGCAAATGTGTGAAACTCCATGTTTCAGTCCTACAAATTAAAATAATTTGTAGAACACAATGTGACAAATGAGTTTGATCAGATCTGGATATATCATATTCAACAAACAAGTAAATTTCAATATAACAAATAAGGTATAGTTATGTAGAAGATTCAAAGTCTTTTGGCAAGGTTCCCCCTCATTTAACCCTCAATAACACATTTCCTGTGCATTTGGTAAAGTCAACCGCATAGTAGGAGATTGTATTGTATAAGATAGTACAACAGGATCCCTCAAAATTTGTATCACTATCATTGTGAGAGTAGATCACACGAAATTGTATTAAATTGCTCATTTACATATAGCCATTTGGATGTCAAACATGGATCTCATTGGAAAGCAAAATAGCAAACCAAAATTGTATTTTGAGTCCCGTTTTACGTTACAGACATTGTAAGCACAACAATAAAAACAAAACATTTATATTAACACGGGGCCAGATTTGTTTTGTAGGTGGCCGATTAATTTACCGATCGCAATCACAACAGCGTTGTTTTCTTAGCTAATGTCTGACCCAACATAAAAAGCATTGTTACGGTCAAAACACTAAAGTAAAAATGGTTGTGTATACAAGAAAATTAAAATTAAAAACAACATTATTACATAGTGAACAAAAAATGCTTTCCAAACTATTTTGCGTGCAGACACATGATAAAATTGAAAATACATAAAATTAATTGAAATTGCTACTTTTAATCCTATGCAAGTTTAAAATAGCAATCGCAAATTGGCGTTAAAAGCAAATTCAATTTCATACATAAAAAACATTTTTACGAGCTGGTAGCCATAACAATTTTTGATGAGTGGCGCGTGCCAGTATTCAATATTACATTACAATTGAATTGATCTGTTACACTGTTTAACCAGCTTTGCGCGCGCGCTAAAAAGATGTATATAGTTTATAGCTGATCACTGTATGCTTCAGATTGGAATGTTAAATCTTTTAAGCGCCATGCTGCATGCACTGCACGCCAGCGACCGAAACTCTGTCAAAAGATGCATCGTACATGTACTTGTTTTACCTGGGGACCTTTTTTATCACGTTGTGACCCCCACGGTCGTCGGTCGTTTCACTATATGAGTATTGCTGAAAGCACAGTGTAAGGCCTACACGGACCGCCTCTATATAGTTTGTACGATACAGGGGGAGCCGCGCACTCGTGCGCGGCATACAACGTATGACTAGGGACCTCAGGCTATCATGTTTATAAACATAGAATAGAGATTAGGCGGAATGACAGGATGAGCGCGGCCCAGTTTACCTTTGTATCACGTTGCGACCCGACGGTCGTTTCACTACTTTATCGTCCTGACGATACAGGGGAAGCCGCGCACTCGTGCGCGGCGGGTCATACAACGTATGACAATGGTAGACTAAATTATACTCAGTTTATTTCTGCCGAAAACCCTATGAAATGTATTAAAGGTAACATACACAATATTTGATATCAATTTTATCAAAGTTTTTATGTAAGATTTTCGAAATTGAAGTTTTGTTTTTAAATAGAAACAAGAAAAGATGTTGGTATCCATGAAACAATCTCGCCACACTCGTCAAACCGGAGATGATTGTAATTTGAAGTGCAGACAAGAATTATCAATATAATCTCTACAACAAATTGTTCATCAGTTCAGTGGAATTTATCATGCACAAGACTAGTTTCACTACGAAATGTTGCAGTTTAAGATTTAAGGTCTGAGCTGAACTTAACTTTCAAAATCAGTAAAATAAGGAAAAACAAGAACTTTAAGGAAATAATTTCCCCGAGGAAGGACGTTTCCGATATCTCATGACGGTGGAGCCACTGGAGTAATGGGTGTTGAGGTAGCTGTAGGCGCGAAGAAATACATCTGCGAGAATAATTAAATAATCAGCGAATTGATTTATATTGATTTAAATATTGTAATGTAAAAACGAGCAACGAACAAAATCGAATGGACCTAAATTACTCAGTAATAAAGGTAAAAGATTTCTCTGATCGAAAATTCATAACCAAAAACCAGTTATCAGAAATCTCTTTCAACGAACCTTGAAGAGAAGAATGAGAGCAACATGTAGCGCGGCGAGAACTCCCGTGATAATGAGAGACAGTTGTTTAGGCTCTTGATCTAGGACTTTCCACAGAGTTAACGTCAATACACCTCCTAGGGGAGTAATTGTTTAATGACTAAGCTTCCTTGTACAGCAAGTAATTATGTTACTATCTCTACTATAATTCAGAGAATTGTTTTTGTTGTTTGTACGAGCGTGCTAAATCACTCTACAGTCGATCTTCGAGATTGTTCTAAAAGGGCTCCCGACAGTTGAAACCAACTTCAATCGATGTATTTTCGGACGCTGATTCCGAATCACCCCCCATGACATAAGGTTAAAATGCTCCCCTGACGAGATATTGGCGAAAAACTGTCTCGATCACGTGATATGACCGTATAAGGAAGTTAGTCTAATTTCTCGTTAGGGTTAGGGTTTCAGCATATGCTTTTGTTATGGATTGGGTTAGGGTTAGGGTTGGAATCAGACTAGAGGGTTAGGGTTTCGAATAGTCTTTCAGGGCCAGCTAGAGAACGGGTTGAAAAAGTCACGTGACAGTCGAGTGTAGAGTGATTAATCATCATCCTTGTTTGTACGACCGCCCACGTGCAAATTAGGTAAAAAGCAAAAGGTTGCAAAGTAACCATGGTAACGAGGGTTATTACACGCACGTGCACGTGCAAAGATTGGCGAACGGCATTTTTATCAGTTTTGTTGATGTTACGTTGTGTTTAGTGCGAGCAACATTTTAATCGGCTGTATCTTCGGAGGGGATGAATACTTTTTGACACGATTAAAACTGCACTGACTGCCAAAGAATATTATTAGGTTCCTCCCTGTGACCACGGGTTTTCTAGTCTTTTATAATATAAGAGACTGCGACAAAGTACAGAATATAACATGTTTACTTTGTTCAATCCCAGTTTGAAATGTGAAACAGTGGCACATATTATGTTTAATCAGCAATTGAGGTGAATTCCTGTTTAACTTACCACTGGTGGCCATTAGACCGAAAATGAGCAGCCATCTTATCCATTCGTAGTTAATACACAGCAACAACTGAAACATTTCATCAGTACAGTTTATAGATTACAGTTATATCTCTACTGATACTGTTCCCCCAGTACTTATACAGTTATACAGTTTACATTGTACATAACTGTGTATTATAGTAGTGTGTATAGCTAAAGTTAGTCCCGTATTTACCCAGATAAGTCAAGTAGATAAGGGATAGAATCCTACCCCGTTCAATTATACGGGCAAATTCAAAAACTCAATAAATCAAGCAACCAATATATACGAACAAGTTGATTGCAAAGAAGGACTTACAGATATGGGAATGAAGAGAGTGAGGCAGTAACCGTATAAGGATAACGTATCAGCTAGTTTTATTTCAGCGCTACTCTTCCTCCACCACAAGTACCCAGATAGCAGTGCTGGTATCACGGTAACGTAGCTGAATATCACCGTACCCGCTATCGAAACTGAACAAGTTGTCAGGGTATTTAGAGAGGAAGACATGTTGAAGTTATGAAATTAAACGTAATACAATTTATAGTTAAATGCTGCGAGAGCATCACAACTGCATCTTGAAAAATTTTTTTAAAAAACCAAGCTTATTTTCAGTAATAACATCAAATTCGTTCCGAACTTGCATTCAATTGAAAAAAAAAGTGATTTCCAATGACTATAGTGCAGAAAATCTTACCTTTTTTAAAGTCGTATTCCCAATCAGTATCTTTTCCAAAAGTGGCGAACCAGTCCGCCATATTACCACTTATAGCAGTTGAGAAGATTAGTGTAATACACACCCACAAGGGCCCGTAGAAGTCGGGTATTGGTTTGAGCTTCTCAATGTAGTTAGAATTAGGAGAAGGAATACAAGCGTACATCAACCTTTCCAATACCTGGGGTGAAAGTTTAGAGATGGTGCTGAACGAGAAGCTGAAACTTGAAACTGTGCAGTGAAGGTCTTTTATGAAGAAGAATCTCTTTAATCTGAACATGCAGTTAACTACTTCATATATAGATATTCACAGAAGGAGGAAAAGTAAACACAAGATCAAATTCGAGAAACATTACCAACCATTGCATCGTCCACGTTGAAATATTGTTGATAAAACTGGAAGGACCAAAAAGCGGTGTTAACTGGGGGTTGCGGATCTTCTTCTTCATCTTCTAACAAATTATTTCCTAACAAATTATTTGTCTCAAATGTTAACTTCGTGTCCGCTTTTGGTTCTGAAAATATAATGATGTTCAGAATAGATTGTTTACTCTAGTAGCAGGGTGTAGTTGAGTGTGCACTTCGATGTGTACTATTTCTGACAACACAGGGTTGTTTGTTAGGTCATTCTAAACCAAAATCGTTTAGGTGGACAATTTGTTTCGCTAGAGACAACCCTACAGGGCAAATTTTCTAAATTACCCTCAGTCGCGTATACGGGATTTTCGTATTTCGGCTCCTGAAGGTCATAGAGACTTAATTTTTAGCTTAAAATCACCGCAATGGCCACATTTATATACAACTTACTAATCAATATATGGTCTAAAATTGTTTGTTTCCGAGATATCTGCAAAAAACTAATTTTAAGTTCAGGCGTAGGCACAAATTTCATCAAATTTGTATCTCCGCTTCTGAAGGTCTTAGAGACTCAAACTTTGACTTAAAATGACCGCAATGCACATGTTTATATTGACACTATAAAGGTCATAAAGGCCCAAAATGCTTACTTTTGGAGAAAAATCCAGAAAAACTGATTTTCACTGGGGAAGTGAAAAAAATGTACTCTAGAAGCTAATTGAAATCGAGTATGCAGTTTGGTGTCTACAAATTTTCTAGAAACCAGGTCCTTTGTAAGGTCATTCTGGATCAGAATTGATAAGGTACGCAATTTCTATCAGTAGTTCCAACCCTAGGGGGGAATTTCTAAATTACCCTCAGGCGCAAATATATGACTTTTGTATCTCGGCTTCTGAACGTTGTAGGGGCCTCTCTTTTAGCTCAAACTAACTGCAAAGGCCACATTTACATACAAGCTATAAAGCAACATAGGGTTTATAGTGCTTAGTTTTGGAGATATTCATTAAAAACTGTTTTAACTTTCGTGCATCCTAAAATAGTAACATCAAACATGTACTTAATTTTGGTATCCCGGGCTAAAAAAGTCTTACAGGCACTTTACTTGCAGCACAGCAAAAGTTCAGCATGAACACATTCAGATAATATTTATGAAGCAACACAATTCAGTTTCAGAAGCTCCTTCCAGCTATCTTGTGTTATCCCCAAATGTATACGTCTAACCATCTCTCTGGTTACTATCATCTCGTTAAAGGCAAGGCTCGACCGGGACCGATTTTTTGGCCGGGACTGGGACTGGGAAAAAGTGCCAGGACCGGGATTAAGACCGGGACCGGAATTAAGGATCGGGATTAAGCCCAGATCCCAGTCTTAACATAAGTTGGGCTCTCTCCAGTACTTTTTGGCTATTATAGCTAATCAACTCCAATCCAACCTCATGTAGTAGAATCTACTTCTAGTTTCCTTCAATTCAGCTATCTCCACTCTAGCTGTTTGTAGCAATCTCTGAATGCTACTTCCTGCTCTATCTAGCTTCCACCAACATCCAATAATTTGTGTTATGCTACTATTAGCACCTGCAAATTCTAGCCCTATTCAGCAACCTCAGACTTGCTCCTACTCTGTTCAGCTATCACCAGCACCTTCAAATTCTAGCACTAATTCCAGCAACCTCAGACTACTTTCTGCTCTATGATCCAGCTAACACTAGCAAACAGTACCCACAAATTTTAGCTTCTTCTAGCTACTTCGGGCTAGAAAGAGCTAGAAAGAGCTAGAAAGAGCTACAATTATAACGAGTTGGTAGTAGCAGAATTAAAGGTAGCTAAAAGTAGATTCTACTTCATGAGGTGGGATTGAAGTTGATTAGCTATAATAGTCAAACAGTACTGGAGAGAGCCCAACTTGTGGTAGTACGAGATAGTTAGATGTTCATGTATAAATTTGGGGATTGAAGTTGTTCGAAGTAACCAGAGAGATGGTTAGACGTATACATTTGGGGATAACACAAGATAGCTGGAAGGAGCTTCTGAAACTGAATTGTGTTGCTTCATAAATATTATCTGAATGTGTTCATGCTGAACTTTTGCTGTGCTGCAAGTAAAGTGCCTGTAAGACTTTTTTAGCCCGGGATACCAAAATTAAGTACATGTTTGATGTTACTATTTTAGGATGCACGAAAGTTAAAACAGTTTTTAATGAATATCTCCAAAACTAAGCACTATAAACCCTATGTTGCTTTATAGCTTGTATGTAAATGTGGCCTTTGCAGTTAGTTTGAGCTAAAAGAGAGGCCCCTAAAACGTTCAGAAGCCGAGATACAAAAGTCATATATTTGCGCCTGAGGGTAATTTAGAAATTTCCCCCCTAGGGTTGGAACTACTGATAGAAATTGCGTACCTTATCAATTCTGATCCAGAATGACCTTACAAAGGACCTGGTTTCTAGAAAATTTGTAGATACCAAACTGCATACTCGATTTCAATTAGCTTCTAGAGTACATTTTTTTCACTTCCCCAGTGAAAATCAGTTTTTCTGGATTTTTCTCCAAAAGTAAGCATTTTGGGCCTTTATGACCTTTATAGTGTCAATATAAACATGTGCATTGCGGTCATTTTAAGTCAAAGTTTGAGTCTCTAAGACCTTCAGAAGCGGAGATACAAATTTGATGAAATTTGTGCCTACGCCTGAACTTAAAATTAGTTTTTTGCAGATATCTCGGAAACAAACAATTTTAGACCATATATTGATTAGTAAGTTGTATATAAATGTGGCCATTGCGGTGATTTTAAGCTAAAAATTAAGTCTCTATGACCTTCAGGAGCCGAAATACGAAAATCCCGTATACGCGACTGAGGGTAATTTAGAAAATTTGCCCTGTAGGGTTGTCTCTAGCGAAACAAATTGTCCACCTAAACGATTTTGGTTTAGAATGACCTAACAAACAACCCTGTGTTGTCAGAAATAGTACACATCGAAGTGCACACTCAACTACACCCTGCTACTAGAGTAGTTATGTTGCAGCTATAATTTACGCAGAATTATCCGTAATTAAGATTAAAGCTGCTTCCAAAGAATCTAATCTAATATTTCAAGACGAGAGACCAATGTAGTTATGTAGTAACAATGTTACTTTTATGTTGGTTCCAACTTCTTAGAGTTGAGTGCTCAACTAAGCTTCTAACGCAATTATGAATATGTGGTCAAATCCAGCTAGTATAAATTTCATAAAAATATTCCATTACCTGGTTCAAAAGCAGGCTCAAAGCTGGAGAATTGTGAAGTAGGAATTGTGGCTGCATCATTGGGGATGGAAGCTACAGTGTTACTGAAGTCTTGGAAATCTATGTTAAACTCTTCACTGTTTAATATCGGGTCTTTGTCCGACATTTCTCCTATTAGAAAAGTGTTGTTTATAAGATTATAATGCTTAGATGTAAGTTATATATTTAGTAACAATGTAATATTACCAGTCATTGTGTAAAACAGACAACATTTATTGCTTTGTTTTGACACGCGCGCAATAACGTATTCTGTCGTGCAGTCTCCATGAAAATTCTAGTCAAATGAAACAAATTCGCGCGTTACATAAATTCATCCATCTCATTAACCTATTAGTCAAGACTATGTATGCACTTGCACACGTATATTATATACAATATACTACACTAAGACTCATTGAAAAACTTAAGAGTGTAAAGAACTTGTGAAACTTTCGCATTCAAATAGGAATAAAATCGTTTACAAGTATGCAATAATGAAGGTGCGGCAGTTCAGGTGCCATCAAAAGATTGAAAATCAACATTACTAATTCAACATTCATCCTTCTAAAACTGCGTTATTAACTAAAAGGCAAGACAGATTCAACTATAGCTGAAATATCTTATGTAAGAAAAACATGTATTCTGAAAATTGATAATATTATGAAAGCAAAAATACACGCTTACGTACATCAAATACAAAAAAAGTCAGCTGAATAATAAAGCACATCTACCCTATAGAAAAACCCTCGGCTCATATAACATTAAATGAAACACTGTGCTGCAAAAATAACTTCCATTCAACGATATCAACTCTGATCATAGCAAATGCTATTAATACAGTAATGATAACGTCACAATCACGAGGTTTGGAATTACTGGTAATCTCTGGTCGGATGCTAACAACAACATTCTTAAAACCAAACTATTTGCATCAAACATATACATATATATTATAAAGAACTTATTTCAAGAAAACCTGTTTACGACATATTTACGACAATTAAGAAAAATAAAAACTCGTTGTAACTCAAGTTAAAGACTTGAGGTACTTCTCCCAATTTTGGGTGTTGCAGTAGCAACAGAACATAAAGCAGTTTTTACAGTATCCGAAATTGAAGGGGGTTGTGTCTTCGGGCCATCTTTTAAGGTATGTTATCTGAAATAACTTGAAATTAGAATCATCATTATAATTAGTGTAACCATGAGCTACCCCTTTGTTAAAAAGAGGTGCACAATTTCAATCTATTGTTTGTTTCAGAGCTCTTCTGGTAAATTTAATTGGTGTGTAACTTGAATTTGGTGATGAGATCAGTGAACCACCAATATTGTGGAGCACGAAACACACAAAATATCGAGGAACACACTCATTAACTAATCGTTTATTAAACTAATTAATTAACTAATTAATTAACTAATTACCCTTCCATGAGACACGTGTTCCCAAGTAGTAAGCCCATGTAGTATAAGATAAAGATGACAACAAGCTAGCGCCGTTACAGCCAGTCCCCCAATAAACAGTATAATTCCACATATTACTAGGATTCCATTGTACTGCATCCACTCTACTACCACAGCACTAGATCTACTGGTCTGCCTGTGGGAGTTAAGAGGTTATTAAGTTATTGAGTTATTAAGTTGGTTATTAAGTTATTAAGTTATTAAGTTATTAAGTGGTTTATAAGTTATTGTGCGGGAGATAATTAAATATGGTTATTAAACGAAATTATTAATATTATCAGGATTAATCAATAAGTGGTCACCTCATGAATGATAATAATAATTTATTAAATCATTAATAGTTTACTACAAGTGAAATATTATCACTTCAATGAAGTTATCACTTGATTTCATGCATCATTATTGGTTACATTAATTAGTTGTTAGTGTTTCTTAAATGAACAAATCCAACAGGACGTGTTGCATAATCCAAGTCTCTTACAAGAAGTATTCTGACTGCAAAGTGCAAATGTATCATTTAAGTAAAGAATAAGTGTCACACCCTCTTCAGGCTATGTGTCTTACAATTATGAAGTAAATGTGTGTAATCCCACACTGCGTATGTAGTGCACGATGGTCAATGCGAATTGTGAGATGTTTCTTTAACTTGTAAGAATAAGGAAGAATAAAAGTGCTAACAATTGGGTTTTAGTGTATAAGGGTGACTTTTAAATGAATGTGTTACAAATTAAAATGTGTGTATACATATTGTACTGTATAGTGTACTGTGTAGTTCAATCAATTTCGTAGTTGTAGTGCTCGTAATAGGACCGTAACATTAGTATACGTGTGCAGTGTGCACTGTGCACTGTGTATAACTAATCTATTCTACATTTTCTTTACACACTTTGTAATCACGTACAATTAATGCTATATATTATGGTAATATAACTATTCTGGATATTATATGGTGTGGGGCTGCCAAAACCAAACTAAATTCTCTTGATATTTTGTACAAAAAAGTAGAAAAAATTGCTCTCAATGTTAATTGGCGTGAACCATCAGTAAATGTGTATCGAGATATGAAATGGCTTCCCGTACATTTAAGGAGACAACTCCATCTATCGACGTATATTCATAAAATCATTAATGAGAGTGCACCGTCATCATGTACAAGTAAATTTGCCTATGTATCTGGAGGCTCACGTGATGCTGAGAGGTGCAACCTTTATATACCCAAATCTAGAACACATAAAAGCTTTTCGTATTTGGGTGCAAAATGCTGGAATTCAACTCCAGTGAACATAAGGAATGTATAATGTACTGCCCAATTTTCACATTGTACGAAATCCTTTAAATTTATGTTGGTATGGATGTAATTAATGGACAATGGTGTTTCATTACTGTATATGAAATTATCCGCTTACCACGCCTGACCTGATGCCATTTTTCACCCTAAGGTCTATACTTCTCTGTATATAAATGTACATAATTCTGACAACAAATGTCAAAGTGGGTATCTATGTAATTTTCGTACTACTTTAATGGTTACCTTCATGCCCACAGTTTAATGTTAAATCTCACTGTACCATATTCATTAACTTATAACTTATTACATACTTTTTTTTTTTATTTTTTTTATCTAGACACTTATTTTACTTCGGTGTATTCCAACAGCCACAATGTTACACAAGTGCAACCAGCCAATTACAGGAAGCCGAAGGATCTTTTTGGCCAGTGACGGTTAAGGTAGTGTGTACCATACTTTCTTCGTCCGAGACTTTGCTGCAATGTGCAGCTCCTCATTTAACCCTCACACCCGATTTCTCGAGTATTCGGCTGAGTAGACCGGGGGGCTGCATAGACCACTCATGATCCTTAGCTGAACGTCGACGACGCTCACCCCACGACCAGGCAGTCAGTGGGTTTCGAACTCGCAACCTAACGATTGTAAGACAGGCGTTCTAACCAACTGCGCTACCTAAACTATATGTTTTGATTCTATGTCCTTAGAAGGGTATTCTTCGAACAGTTTTTGACTGACTTGAATGTCCTGTACAGCAGTTAGAAGCTTCTTTAAATTAATTTTATTCTTATTGTATTGCTGTGTAAATTTAATTCTAATTCTAATTCTAATTCTATAGAGTGTAAAAACGTGACAGATCGCGACCAATGAGGTTATATACATATAATATGTATATATATAGTTCCGTATCTTGATACTTTCTCGGTACTACATGTACAGGTATAGTATAAGGTTTACTATAAGCTTTTACAAAACACATACATTCCATTTACAAGATAACTAATAACTATACTAGTATAACTAAACTTTAGTACACTCTACATAATACTTTATATAATGATATGACATTCGATTGTGGTTCAGAGAGTTTAATTTGGTTACAATGTAATGAAAACCTGAGTGATGAGCTGAAATCAGCTGTAATGTATTAATTATATGTAAAATGATTCCCAATATTACCAGATGTTTTAATTCAATACAGACGTGTTGAAGTGTAAAGAAAATAATGTTAGATTGTACGATGGAGTTGAAGTCTTTGACTTGAACTTTACTATGATTAATGATTCATTTGGTTTGCTCGTTATGGAAAAATTGATTGATACTTTCTACCATTATACATTTAGTAAATGCGATAAAAGTAATAAATACAGTATACATATTACATAACGGGTTCAGTGTCCACTTACCAAACCATGGCGATACATTTGAATATTAAGATGTCCTCGAACATGAGGAAGAAGATGAACATTCTGTGGTTTCTCTCTCCCACACAGTTCCCTAGCCAGGGACAGTGGTGGTCAAACCTGAAACACAAGGAAATATCTTGAGAATATATTTGGTGAGACCATATTATGATGTACAGGGAAAAATCTTTATCATTAGAAATTATGATAGTGTAAAAAACAGGATTTAGATTAACAGGCTGTTTATTTCACAACTTCCACTCTGCACATTCTTGCAGAATTTGCTTCAGTTTACAGGTTTATATCCAATAATCAAGCTACAACATTGCATATAATACATATCACAGCTGCACTGTATGGCTGTACATGATATTAGAAGATCTGTAAACGAATCACGAAAGCGAATTGCTATGGAGCAATGAGAGCAACATAAGATAAATACTGATCTTCTGCAACTGCTAACATTCCTCATGGTCAGCATAGTTTTTATATCATAAGGGGCCATCTACTTAGGACGTCCGGCAAATAAGGAGGGCACAGAATTAACGAAAAAAGTCCCATTTATTTCAACTCTTTGACACTCTGTAAGTTTAGATCCCTGTATTTTGAACGAGAAGTTCCCAGAGCAGCTCATGAGAGCCGAGACACAACTCGCATATTCTCCTACTGTCTTAAAATTTATTCGATTGGATGGCTACCTAAGTACTTAAATGTAACTGTGCTAAACTTGTTTGACACTAAATGTATTATTGTCTATTTTAAGTAACTACACATTTTATCAACAATGAATTTGAGTTGGTTTTATTTATACTCTTAAAAGTAGCTGGAAATCCGGACGTGAGGTGGTTTAGAAAATTCGGACACACCCGGACAGGGGGAGGAGGGTGGTCTGAAAATCTGCGATTTTGGCGGACGTCCTAAGTAGATGGCCTCTAATATAACACGGGATGAATATGATGATACAAACTATAACACATTATAAAGTTAAGTAGGATTAACTGATCAGACCTAAGTAACGAACTGATCTGACATAAGTAACGAACTGCTAAGGAGTAAGGGTCCTACCTTCTGACACATCTGTCGCAGTCACGACAGTGCTTACTGCGGAGGGGCTGGGATTGGTCGCACCATCTACAATAGAATGCGTGGTCTGATTTTATCAATGTTGTGGTGTCTTCCTCGCTGTTTTCCTGAGGGAAGAATACTACTATAACAGATAGAGGTGAAATTAATGAATGGTAAATAACCAGGCAATAATATGAAGTTTATAAAGCACCTTCTAGTTACTGAAAATATGAAATATGAATGTCCAAATATATTGAATTGTAGCTGTTACAGTAGTAAATGTATAAACATTAAACAAATCTCAGATTAAACTCTCATCAAACTAACCTCTACAACAGAAATAGGAACATATCCCGGATTCATGAGGGAGGCAATGTAGTAGGTAACAAAAGTAGATATAACTAATACAGGGAGAAGGTATATCTCTAATGTGTGGTTCCCTGAAGCTACTGCTCTGTAGATACCTTAGGGAGAACCAGGGTTAAGTATTAAATAAATTAATATTTAAATCAAATAATATTTAAATAAATATATAGGTAATGATGTGATAATAATTAAATAGAGTGCAAATGGTAGAGATAACTTGTTTGATTAATTTTAATTTCGTAAAAATCACATCATTTATGATACTTAAAAAATCCCCCATGGTTTGATTGAAAGTTGAAAGTTAGATTACGTACTGCTGTTAGGGTTGAAGCATATTCCTGCTAATACCAATAGGGATAGTAAAGTGTGTCCAACACGAGCAGCTATTCTGTTGTACTTCTTGCGGGAATCTGTAGTCTGGTAAGAATAGATAAGTTTACATAATATATTTATTCGTGTATCGTTCTGATTATTGATGCTTTTACTTAGTAGTTAGTGTACTGGAATCGATCAAAATACTTATCTAATATCTATCTACTAAAACCCCAATAAACTGCAACGTTTGGGGGAAAGCAGGAGCTGCAGCAAATCAAGATTTTGCTTTAATCAAATACTTGATAATACAATATACATACTAAAAAGGGGTGATATAAAATCATACCAGAATTGAACTCAGAAGTCTTATCTAAAAGAACAATAAAACACCTTTTCTGTTGTAGACTGTTCCAGAATCAGCTGCATATCCGGCTTTTTATCCGGTCTCTCCTTAAAGGGGTCCATATCTCAATACCACAGTATAACCGTACAGCTAAGGTGGTGACATTTCATGAGATGCTACGTCATGTCGACTGAAGGTTAGTTGTTTAAAGGCCAAAGGGGTTGTAACACAAACTAAAAACGGGAAAGAAACACTTCCATCCAATCTCACAATTACCCTTTATCTATTTAACTGGTTTTCTCCATTTTTACCCCCATCTACTTCATCCTTCTCGCAAGCTCTGAGGCTTAATAACTAAAAAAACACAAAACATCTTCAAAAATCATGGCATTATACTCAAAAAATTGGGTTTTGGAGTCAAATAAAACAATTGAACTGATAAATAATTAAGAATAATGAATGTTTTTGCAAAAGGTTAAAAATTTAATAAAAATCGGAACATTGCATATTTTAATAAAAAATAATTGTAGGTAGAAAACAAGAAAATCTGATTAATTGAAAAGAATTTGATAAAAATCAATGTAATCGTCTGTAATTTTTCAACCAAATTGGTATCTTAAATACAACAGGTAATTCATTGCCAAGATAATAGTCAGTAAAAATTGTAGATTTAATCAGAAGTGTCACTTAGAATTTCTTTTGGCACACAGTATAGTACCATCATGATAAGATCTTGGTACAAACATAGAGAAAATTAACCAGACCATTCACTGCAGAATGAGAGGTCAAAATTAGGTTAAGTTTTTGTCAAGAATGCTAGAATTAGGCGTGAAATGCCTTCAATAACTAAAATATTGTGAGAGGAGGATATCATTGTCCAGTGGCCACTAAATGTAATATTCTCAGAGAATAGACTCAACAAATGAGTGACAAGGTAAACAAAAATGCAATGGCACGCTTTAACTCCATTTAAGCGTCTATTGATGGCAAGGAAGATGTGTCAGGGTTTAGTGTCCAAAGGGCATAGTTTAGATAGCTGGTGAAGGTTATCAACACCAAGTATGGTAGCAGAAGGAGACCTGCTGAGTATTCTATTGGTAGGAAAACTGATATGTTTAGGATGATGAAGACAAGCATTATAAGTATATCAATAAAACCGCCCAGCTGACGTCCAATAAAGAAAATTAAAGGCCATGTAAAGTTCAGAGTTATCTGAAACAAGAACACCATCCAAGGAAGAGTCAGGCTAAAGCCAATTTTCCGGTAGACTTTAAAAGCAGAAAGAGCAATCATGAAGTAGAGGATACTCCAAACAGGACCAAATACCCAGTCGGGTGGGTGACACAATGGTTTTTTTAGTTTTTCATACCAGTCATCTGGTCGTAGTGCTCCACCTGGTATAGTCATGATGTCTATTAGTGTACCACCTCCCTCCATCAGTAGCAGTAACCCCACGAACACTGCAGCATCTTTCTTATTATTCTGTGTCTTGCCTATATTCTTGTAACCTAATTCTTCTGGATTCTCAACATACATTGAAGCCTTAAATGACACACTAGAAAGTTCAGATATAAGTATTGAAATGTGGATAACAGTACACAGATAAAAAGTTCATTCAGTTGACAGTTTCTTGCAGTTGGTATATGCCTTCTTACCACTTTCTAGCTACTCCAAGTCTCTTAATCAGGCTTGTGATCCACGTCAGTATAAAAGGGAGTATATTAACTTTTGATCTACTTGCAATCGCATGTTACAAATCGAAATACAGATTAGTTATTAACTGTACAATAAAAATAAAATAGTACTTATATTATAAAGTAGACAGAAAGATCTTTTAAAAATATAACTACTGAATGAACAAGCAGAACTACCAGCCAATATTAAGCGTACCATTTTATTTTGACTCATGATCATGTCACTCTTTACACCATCTTCCACCACTCACCAGTCACTCCGATTTCACCGGCAACCTTCCCAGGGTTGATTCACTATGTCAATCCTTCGTATCTCGCCGATCTGCATACGCGGTGGTTGCGAGAAGATGCGCGGCGCGGCCCAGTAGTGCATTGTGCTACAATCCCCAGGGTTGCCACACCCCAAAGGTAGGCAAAGCATCTCAATGCTATCGGCCTCTTGTGAGCTTTCTTAGCTCAGCCTCTCTTAAATACTTTAATACTTTCAGCGCTGCTATATAACAAATAATTTGAGGTATGTGTAATGTTAAACGATAATGTCAAACGATAACTGAAACTGTTAAACGATAACTGACACAGCACAGACCCGAGAAGTCCTGCTTCTCCTTCCACTCTACACAAATCTATAAAGGGAGTCAGACCCAAAAGTCTGAACATTTCCGGTTGGTGATTAAGTTTTTTAGAAGATACAAACTCCTTTTTTCATTTTGTGAATGTCTGGTAATAGTAGTATACCAAGAAGTGGGAGAGGAGGTTCCATGGATACACTCAGTCCTCACCTCAACAAGAGGAATAAAGCTAAGTCAGAAAGCGATACTAGCTCGCCCTTAATTAAGGTGAGCAGAGTAGCTGAAAGTGCTGCCAAGACGAAACACTGGGACCTTGATAAGTGCCCGTGTAACGGCTCGTCTGGCGGCAAAGTCTATTTGATCGACTGTTCGCGTTGTAAGCAGCAGTGGCATGTTGATTGTCTTAGTATGCGGGGGATCTCAAGGCAGGCCATCAACGCCATGGTTGACTACCTATGTCCCTTTTGCTATGTTGCCCCAGTAAGCACTGCCAGGAATAAGAGATCAGACACATGCTTCTCCTGCAGAAACACAACAGTCTTACGACAGGCTAACAGTGAATTTGAAGCCTCAGCTGCTGCAGATAATCTTAATAACATAGGCCTAATCTCAGCATCGCTTGCCTCGGTAGACAGTGAGAAACTCTGCGAGCAAATAGCCAGTCTCAACAGCAACATGGAACGTCTTCAGACTTTTGATCTCCATCTACAACATCTCCTGATTAAAGAAGACGGGTTGAAGTCCCATCAGGCTCAAATGAAAAAGTTAGAAGCAGCACTGTCCTCATCATCCAGCTCTGCCACAGACCCTCTAGCCAACAGCATCGAGCAGCTGAACCAGCAACTTGCACAGCTTCAATCGCATCAAACTGCAGCATCTGAAACACCTGCTTGCACTGCCACTCATGAGCTACTTGAGAGAGTCTCACTAGAACTGAATGAGCATTCCACCCAACTTAACAACTTAAGCAGTCAAATACAGGATTCTAAAGCATCTCCTAAAGCACCACCTGTAGCCCAGTACCCCTCTCCTCCAGTGCAGGCTCCCCTACAACCTGAACAACCTACCCCTCACTTACCACATGATCAGGTACCAGTAACTGAAACCAGGCCAGATTTCATTCTGGCTACTGAATCTGAGAAAATTATTGCCTTTCTTCAGTCATGTTCCTTCAAACAAGAGAACGGTCACTCCGTCACTTCATTTGGCACCCCCTACCACTACATGGGATCCAAATCTTCAGAAAATGTGCCACCAATTCCTGAGGAACTCAAACCATTATTTGATGAAATGAATAAAGTACAAACTGAACATTTTAACAAGAGCTACCCGGATCAGCCCCACCTGACGGCCCCGGTTATCAATTCATGTCTCATCAACAGATATGATGGCTCTGATAGTCACCTGCCAAACCATTCAGACCGTGAAGTGACCATCCATCCAGAATCATCAATACTTACCTTGTCTCTCGGCCAGATCTGCAACATCAAGTTCACTGAATGTGACTCTAGAACTGAATCCTCTCTTGAATGTCATGATCGCTCCCTGTACATAATGAGCCGTAGATCACAAGAAGTTTACAGCCATATGATTGAGCGTGGCTCAATATCAGATGGTATTAGGTATTCGCTGACCTTTCGTGCTGTTAGCTGGACAAATAAAAATTGCACAAGTTTACATGGTGATTCAAACACAGGCTTCTTGCGTTTTGGGTCTGACAAGAGGGGTACCTTTGGCGAACTCATGCCAGGTCAAAAGTTCTGGGCTCCCAGAATTGAAGATATCAACCCTGTGTCCTGCATGGGTTACGCCAATGTGGTGCTCCACTGTGGGATCAATGACGTGAGACAGCCTGATATTAGTTGTGAGAATGATGTTGCTGATTGTTATAATAAACTCAAGCTGAAAATTAAACAAATTAAGAATCTTAGCCCCAGCACTAGAGCTGTTTTTGTTTGTAAACTGCTGCCTACTAAGGACTTAGAGCTGAATGTAAAAGTTAATGCATTTAATAGACTTATTCATTTCGACCTGCTCCCTACATGTAAGGATGTCGTATGTGTTAAAGGTTTCGAAAAGTTTGCCTGCAACTATGGTCTTGCGGATGAACTGTCGAAACAATTCGACAGACATGGTCGACCTGATACACTTCATCTTAACAAGTTAGGGGCAAGAGTCCTTGCTGGACTCATTAAACAATCTGTATTTATTAGGTTAAATGGCGGAGAAGACAGAAGAAAACACATCGGCAAAGTCAATGGACGGCTATACAGCAACGTGGCTAGTGGCCCGCCTGCACTGCAGCGGAGGGGACGGAACGGTTAACAGGTATGGTTAATCGTGTTCAAAAGGAAATTTGTAGTCACTGTCTGAAGAATATTGGATTAGGGCTTCCCCACTTTGAATGTTTTAACTGCAATAGTATTCTCCATGCTAAATGTTTTAATCCTTCCAAAGCGCAAGTTATCAATTCAAACTTTTACTGCAACGAGTGTAAACATTCCATATCTAAAAAATACAATCCTTTTAAAGTAATGACCGATCCTGAAGTCAATGACTGTGACCCATGTATCCAAAAGATGTCCGATGCTTTGGAAAACTGTAGATCCTATACAATTAAAGACTTTAACACACATATCAAACCTTGTTTTGCAAGCAACTGCTCCATGATTTTCCAGAACATAGATGGTAATAAAACAAATTTTGATGCCTTTAGCATGGAACTAAACCGATTAGCCGAAAAATTTAAAATTATTGGACTTGCTGAAACCAATATTGGAATAGAGGAAAGCACTGTTTACCATCTTGAGGGGTACAATTGTTTTTATCAGGACAAACATATCAATAAAGCTAGGGGAAGTGGAGTAGCATTGTACTTAAAGGACGAACTTAATGGAGTTGTAAACGAAGAATTATCATGGGTAAC